GAATCTGTTCTTTTGATATTTTTAGCCGCCTCAAGACATAATTTCTTTTAATAAATTATGCACATCCGTTATTGCGAAGATGCTTTAGGATTACTCTTCACATGTGTTCGATTAGATAAGTTATTCAAAAACTCAAATATATTTTAGTCAATTAGAACAAAATAGACATCTCATTTTTCATAGAATTGAAGGAAAAGAGTGAAATGTATTAATCGAAGTTGGCGTATACTTTCAATTGAATAAAAAGTCTAAAATCAAATTGTTTTTAAATCGATATAAACTATCGTGCTATTCTCTATTCGTTGAAAGTTCATATATTTCAAGAACTGTTCAGGCTTCTTTTCCATTCATTTAAATCAATACTTTTCAAACAGATATAGTACTGTTATTGATTACAATCAAATCAATTTATTCTATTCGAATTGCTTGTTAATTAATTACAATCGACTTGGCAGGTTAAAACAACATCGCCTGAGACTAAAATGTTCAGTATTTGCTCATTGATATAATAATAATGCAAAGTCTAACATAAGACTGCTGGCTTAGTATTACTGTTTTAAAATATGCTAATATGTTTACATTAAGTAGAAAAACTAATTTAATACCTTGACATTAATATTAACCTATAGCTAAAGCTTATAATTTGAAATTGAAATTTGCCTAGAAATAATATTACAATTATATATTTATGGTACAAAAGAACAAATGATCACGAGTCAGTGCGGAGATCATCTGATTAAGTAAAAGAGGCTGTGAGAGAGTCACTCTTCACTGTCATGTTAGTTGTCAAGAAGAGACTTTCAGAATATGATCAAAACTATACTAGCAGAATACACTCGATGAATTTTGTATAAAATCTTTATCAAAATAAAACAAGAATTTAAACTTGTTTTATTTCATACTAACAATGAAAGTGCTTTTGCTCTATAGATATTGATAAATATACATTCATGTGTATATCATTAAAGTATGTTTGAAACTTATATGATTGGTGTTTTGTCATTTTCCGTGCGTCTTATCTTGACGAACAAAATACCACTGTTGTGTGACGCGAGATAACTATGACAGGTATTAGCATGATACTAATGCTAAAGTATTAAATTACTTTTTTAATCTTAATGTAAAAGCCTTCGAATTAACATTACTTAATGCAATTCAAAGGCAAAGTCAGCACTTATAATCTAACATTTCATTTTTGTTTCTCTTAAATTAGAACATTGCTTCTATGATATCGATAGTATCTATCACAGGTATATCTTTATTTGGGTGAATACCAATATCGATTTATAACATTAAATAATTGGATAAATAGATTAAAATTATTTTATATAATAGATGTCAAGATAAAACTATATACGATTTATATATTCTGCAGAAATCTACTTTGACATAAACAATGAATCAAAAATTGTGTCATTCTAACAATAACACCGGATTGATACAGTATAAAATATTCCAAAAATTGTATCAAAAAAAAAGATTATTTATATCTCTCGAATAGTTCAAATAGGTCACATCCTTTTTAAAGATTTTATTTAACCAATTTTCTATAAATATGAAACTGAATGGAATATTCAATACATTTTAGATATTTGTCTTATATGAACAACTATTGGCAAGAAAGATCTAACAAAATATAAAATATAGTTTAAATTTTATAATATAGAATTATTTATTAGTTTTTATATAGCTCGTGTCATATGTATAACACGTACAACTATGACGAAGATACATCATTTATGAATGTAGAACAATATGGGTGCATTAATAAAAAATAAATTACAGTATTTCAGTGATAAAACATATGTATATGAAATAAACTGAGAGATTAGTAATGTTGTTTTTCGTGTTTTATAGTTCGTGATTATATTTTTTTCTACATTTCATCTTTCAAGATTAAGATAATCAGAACTATTTTTTCATATCGTTATTATTTCACTATTTCGAATAACATTCGATTTTGTTCATTTTAACAAAAATATAATTCGAACATATTCGAAATCTGAGACAAATTTTTCAGTTGGAATAAGAAAATTAACAAACCTTTTTTACTACGTTGTAAAATATGATAAGTATCTTTGAGTGTGAGATCATTTTTTGCTGTAATAAGTTCTTGAAATGGTGTCATCACTTGACTAACAGGTATTGTCGACAATTGATCTTTACTTAAAAAATCAATATCACGAAATGTTATTAAACCTAATAATTTGCTATTGATTTTTCCATTTTCTGTTACTGGTATACCTGTTATTTTAGAATAAATAAAATATTAAAAAGAAACACAGACATAATTATTTTTTTTACCAGAAAATCCATGTAGTTTTTTAATGGCATGAACATCTGCGACTGTATTTGTTGGTGCAAGAACAAGTGGATCAGTTATAAAACCTTGTTCATATCGTTTTACACGTCTGACTTCACTTACTTGATAATCAATTGAACAATTATGATGAATTATTCCAATTCCACCATTTAATGCCATTGCAACTACATACAAAATATTTATTTTATGTATATTAAATCAAAGTTTCCTTACTAGCCATATTTGATTCAGTAACAGTATCCATAGGAGTAGAAATAAATGGTGTTTTAATTGTAATTGTTTTTGTAAGTTTTGATTGAAGTGAAACATTATCTGATGGAAAATTAATATAACCAGGTAGAATTATAAAATCATTATATGTTAAACCATCATTATGTCGAAATAATTTTGTCAATGTTAAACCATCAGATACTTCATCATGATCATCATTTTTATCAATACCATTATGATGCATGTCTTTTTTTTCGATTTAATAATAATGATAGTCTGTAAAGTAAAAAATAAATTGAGAAGGAATATATATATGTATAAAAGAAAGAACGTGATAGAATGTTATCTTTAACATTGATTGTAGCTCAAACTATGTGATTGCGATTGGTTGATGATAATTACACAAACAAAAAAACAGAATAATATTAGTGATTTGAAATATATATATATAGAATAACGATACATTTCTTAGCTTTTTGAAATCAATTATTATAGAGAAAAAGATATTGTTGTTGAAAATTATCGTTAACATTAGAATTCGAAAAATTTATTTGCATACTCATCAATATTTTTTTCACATTGTTCTTTATCGAGGGATATACATAATATTTCAATTTGATATTTATCAAGTACAAAAGATTAAGAAAGATTTTACAAGTGCCTATTGATAAGATATGAGTAAATAGATAAACAGTGAATTATACATTTGTTATTATTTGAATGTATTATACTTATTGAGAATTAATCAAGATATTTTTGTTTGACTTCGTCGTAAAAAACTAGCTTAATGTCTGTCATTCATAAATAATCTTTGAGTACCATCCCTAGGCGAACATCTTACAAATTAAATTTTTACGAGAAAAGCATATGCAGAGTTATCCTCAGTGGAAAACGAACAGATAAGATCGGTCCCAGTTGAAAAATCTCTCTACCGAATATGACCTTGATAAAAATCTGAATGGTGCTAAACGAATTGTTTGAATCTACAATTTATAAGAATCACGGTTTTATGTAATAATCGTATAATGAGCATAAATAACGAGGCTTTGATAAATGATGCATGATTATAAACTAAATTAATCGAAATACTTATCATCAAACAATCTAATAACAAAGAAATTATTAAAGCATAATTAGTTCATTATTTTTCTATGACAAACTCCGATACTAATATAATATGTACATATTGATCTAACCTTCCGAGAGATTTTTTTCTTTTATATTAACTATGATTAATCTTTTATTGGATATATCTGATGTTGAATCAAAAATGTCAGGAATTTATATTAGAATAAGTTGACAGCTCTCATTGGCTAAATTAAAATCGTAAGTTTACATCAACGTAGCAATATAATTAACATGTCAAAGAGTTATACTTTATTATTAAGTATAAATAATTAATGATGAAAAGGAGAAAACTGAAGTAAGACTAATGATGTAAAATAGTCACAATGTATTGTCATTCAAACTATTTCTTTGATAGAAAAGAATAAACCGCTAATGGACATGTATGAAATTCAATATTCTTTTGAAAATAGGGGTATCAATAACAAAACGGTCGATGAAAGAATTCTATTTGGATATTATTATAACTGATTTTGTTAAAAAAATAGCTGAAAGGGATATATTAAAAATGAACCTTTTAGTAGTTCTGAAAATATAACAAATTTTCATAAATATTCTAAACGTTGAATTTTGCTATATGAAATCATCATTAAAAAGAAGTTGTATATAGTAATTGCTTCAAACTCCAAGGTGGAAAAGGATGTTTAATTAGTATTTTTTTTTTCGAAGATACAGATTCATATTAAACTATCTATCAATCTCTTTTACCACTTCGTTCAAGAATCTAATTTATTAGTTTCAGCCAAAAATACAATAAGATTTTTTTTCTGCCACTCAATACCTTCTCAAGGAAGGAAACACATAATTGAATAGTAGATTGTTTCATTCTCTCTCTCTCCCTCGATATAGAGTAATGTTATCGCAGATGTTTTCTCTATAGAAAAAATTCTTTTACTTTTGGTAAGTATTATTACATACATAAAGTAGAGTATTCTATATCAGATCTTTCTAGATATAGTTGTGCTACATGCTAATAAAGTAAAGAGACTAATTATAGATATCAAATAATGAGATAGAATATTGTTCGTGTAAAAATAAACATTTTTGTTCATCTATTATGAGTAATATAGTATTCGTTATAAAGCGTGATTATAACTTTTTTTTTTCTTTCCACGTTTTTACTTGTAAAAAGTGATTTTCTCTAGAGTCTTATTGTAATAATTAGCATCTGTTTCTAATAGTTATATATATCGTATAGTTTGCTATAGAAAAAACTTCAGTTATCGCTAATCGATAATGAAATATTGACAGTAGGAATGAATAGAACTAAGATAGAATCATTGTGGGAATAATTTAGAGAAAAAATAATTTGAAACAGCAGTTGTTCTATACGTTAAAAAGAGCGTTTTTTTTAGCATTGTCAATAGAAAATTTTTTTATTGGTCGTTCAATCTTACCAATGATGATCTTTTTTTCAGCTGTATTTATTTTAAAATCTTTTTCTTTTCCTCTTCTGTTGACAGTTAGCAATTGTCATTCATTTCTGTCAGATAAACTTCTTCAAAAGCAATATGCCCATACCATTAGAAAAAATTAAAGTTGTTGAAGATGAAATCGAAAGACTCGATCATGATGATAAAAATCGTCGTATAGCAATAACACCACCAATACAAGATTTCTCATTTTTAAATAAACCATCACATGTAAAACGTTCGGTTCATTATGATATTGAATCAATAAATACACCTGAACATGAACCATTAAGATCAATTACTAATACTGAACAACCATCGATTGATAATGTTCTTCGTCGACGATATATTGCACATTGGGGTCTACCAGGTAAATAAAAGAAAAAGCAATTAATTATATTGAAGTCTATCTTTAATTTTATAGAGTGGCTTGGTGATAATCATTTTTTATTACAAAAACATCGACCACCTGCTAATTCAGTTCGTGAATGTCTCATATCAGTTGCATCAATACATAGTGAAACCGTTAATATTTGGACCCATTTAATTGGTGCATTATGTGTTGCTGTAACATTTGCACTTTTTTTTATTGAAAATTATCAACAAATGGATATAAGTGATATTATATCCTTTAGTGTTTTTTTCACATCAGCAATATTATGTTTAAGTTTTTCAACATTATTACATATATTTATTAATTATTCACCACGTGTTCTTGTTACAGTTTCAAAACTGGATTATATGGGTAAGTTCAATGAACAAAAAAGAATATAGAACATATGTAAACTAATGACATTTCTAATCGAAAATTTCGTTTAGATAGCTATTATGTCTGAAGGGTATATGTGTAATAATATTAGTTGATATATGAAAATAAAAAAATAGCAAGATAGGAACTAAGAACAATTCCTTCCGCTACTTTTACAAATGAGTTGTCATAAAAAAGGAGGATATTAAAGAGCAAATAAAACTATTGAAGCATATAGACTCTGATAAATATTTATATCCGGTTTCTTTTTGTACAAGTAAAATTGTGATTAAGTTCCAAACTAACATCAATAAACGATTGATTTCTATTTCATATTCTTGATAGATAGTTTCATTTCCTGTATGATTCTATATAGAATCATAGCAGGCAGGCAGTCATGTCAATTTGACTTACAAATATCTCTATAATCTTATTTAAAAGTATTTTCTTCGATAGAAGAAGAAGAACTCTGTCTACACATGCAGAGAAATTTAATTTACATGTCAGAAGAAGTACTTTTCTTTCTGAAATCTCTAAACGATGTAAATTAGCAAGCAACACAAGGTCAAACGCAAGAGAACATCTCGACAAGATAAACTCTTCTGTCTTCCGGTCTTTTAATCAATTAGTCTGTTTGAAATCATAGATTTTTGTATATTAATTAGTTTTTCTTCGTTTACGTTCGATAACTATCAAATTTACTAAATGCATATTTATTTATTTCTTCCATTTAGGTATAAATATATTAATATTTGGGTCAATGGTACCTGTTGTACATTACTTTTTCTATTGTCAATTTCGATTAAAAGCTATTTATATAAGTGTACTTCTTGTACTTTCAATTGGATCAATGATTGGTACAAGTAGTGCTGCATGTTCTAAACCACGTTTTCGTCCATTTAAAGCTATTTTATTTATTGCTCTTGGTCTATATGGTAGAAATAAGAATTATTACTTTTTTTTGAATTAAATAATATTTTTTATTAATTAGGTGCTGCTCCAGCAACGCATGCTTGTATACTTCATGGATTACCACGTATGTTTGAAATGGGTTTTTTATATTTATGTATTATGGCTGTAGCATATATCGGTGGTGGTATTGCTTATGCTGTTCGAGTACCAGAACGATTTTTTCCTGGTAATAAAAATAAATTATATTCATCAATATTTGTTTTTTCTTTTGTTTATTCTAGGTCGTTTCGATATTGTTGGACAAAGTCATCAAATTTTACATGTGGCTGTAGTTGCAGCTATTTATTTACATTTTTATGGTATTTGTTGTCAATTTCATTATGTTGTTCGAACAGAACAATGTCTTATGCCAATAACTTTAAAACTTGGTATTACTGATTTATCCATTTCGTCTTAGAAATTAATTTTTGCAAGCAAAAAAAGATAATATTTTTCGTGATTTTATGTTACTATCTAGCTTTTCTTTTTGTCTTTCAATACGGTTTTCTTATTCTAATTATATTGTTCTTTACTGTCTATAGCAAGTGGCAAATATAAGATTTGATTACATAGAATCCTGTATCGAACGTTAGCACATCTGTTGATTCATAATCAATTACATTTTCGACATATTCATATAATAGAATACAAAGGTTAAATGTAATCGAACTTGCTATTAATATATAAAGATAACATTTTTGTACCTGATGTTTTTTTTTAACGAAAAAAAGAAGCCAAAATATTTACTCTTACTGTCTTACATCTATCTTCTTTTTTTCACACATGCATACATATATAGATAGATAAAAGACAAAAGAAATATATGTCATGAAACGAGAACGACGTCAAATACAGATTACTTATCAAAAAGAAAGAAAGAAGAAAAAAGAGAAAGAAAAGGACATGATGGCACAGTATCCATATAACAAACCAAGAGATGAAAAAAAGAAGAAGAAGAGTTAATTTTACAACAGAACTAAAAAGAAAACTGATATTGTCTATTGCTTGTATCATCCATATAATGAGATTCGTTGATTAGGTTTTTTTTTTGTTTAAAGTGGAATTTTAATTTTGTGATTTTATTAATGTACCTGGTGCACGTTCAATACGAGCACTTGTAAAACCTTTTGATTTTTCATCAGCATTACGTGGCTGTCGAACGATAACTAGTTTTTGACGTGTATTCTCATCAAAATTAATTGATTTAAGTTTTGTAATTAATCGATCAGGACGCTGAAGATTACTGTAAAAGAAAAAGACAGACAATGGTACAATCATTAAGTAGATAATAAATATTAAATAAAAGTATATTGATTTTTGAAAGAAAGGAGAAATTGTAGAAAATATTTCGTTCATGTTTATTACTAACAAAAATTACGTAATTAATGAGGCAGGACAAGCGAAACAGCGTACATTTCAGTTAGGAAACGTTTTACATTGTTTACTGTTACTATTTAATCATTCCTCACATAGTGTGATATTTTAGATTCTCAAATAGCATATCAACGAGTAAAGATCGTATATGACTTTCACGAAATGATAGCATGATCATATGACTTCTATTTTACTTCGAATTTGAATATCTACTCTATCATCGATAATGTCTTTGTCCGCACTCGAATCTTTAAAGTCGATTATCTATCAAAATCATCGCATTTAAAGAGTTTGCGTTTTCTTTTGTATCAGCTTCTTGAAATGACATGCGAACTATTCGAGACCTTCGATCATCATGGTATATAAAATGACAGAGAGATAAGAATAAAGGAGAAAAGGTTAGAAATTTCGCTCTCTCATCTAGCATGTACACTACTTATAACATATTAAAGAACATGAAATTAAGATGACATATCCTTCACACGACCGTCAGAAATAAATAATTGTGTGGTAACAGAAAGAAGGGAGTAATAAATAATTGATAGAAGATGATGAAAAGGTCACTTTTCAAAGATGTGCATATTTTGAAGAAGTTTCTAAGAAAACTGAATCGTGCCAAATGTCTTAAATTTCATTGCTTTTTCATTTGATGTAAAATAAATGAGAAAATTAATTCTGATGTCGTAACAAGTGTTGATCATTACGTAGTCTTAGTTTGATATCTGCTCTCATCTAAATTACTTTCATTGCAAGCTACGATATAAGAAACAATTAAAATTTCTACACAAAAAAACTCACTATAATTAATAAAAGCGCAAGATACAAATCAGTATATACTAAGATTAAACCTCTCGGCTTTCATGTTGATATGTTATTTTAATGAGATTATATAAATGCCTGATGTATTAGTGTGGTTTCAGCTAACTACCAAGAAACAAATCAATCGAGACAGAAAAAGTAAATAAAGATTTATTGCACTATGAATAATTAAGAAGATGTTACTTGAATTAAATATTTAAAGAGTTTACTAGAGCAAACTTATTTCTATTAAATGAGATCTTACAAATATCTTCTAATAAGAACAACATATTTAAATTTTATATGAGAATATTTTCAGGCTGCTAATGATTATGAAAATAAAAGCTTACTTAATACGACGTAATTTACTAGCACATGGTTTGCCACTTTTAAGATTATATTGAGCATAAAATTCCACTTCATCACCGGCTCGTAATTCAAATCCACCTTCGATTTCTGAATTATGAAAAAAGATTTTCTTATTTTCTTCACATGCAAAATCAATAAAACCAAACTAAAATTTTCCGTATTATTAATTTTTGAAAAAAAACAATTAAATAAATCTTTTACCTGTCCTTTAACTGTATCAACTTTTCCTTTGCGTGTTTCATTTTCTAAAACAATATTCATAGCACGTTTGGAATAATCAAGTCCAACGGCAACAGAAAATGTTACTGGATCATTTGGTAATAAAATCACACGTTTATTTTTAATACCAGTTATACTAAATGTATAACATTCACCTGGTATACCATCATCTGCTATTTTTTGTATACGACCTAACACTTCACAATCATCATTTGTTATCATTCGAACAGGAGATACAACACGACCTCGATGAACTGTTGGAAGAATTGACTATAAAATAAAAATAAATTCTTTATTTAGATATTTCGAATTGAAATAGATCGATATATTTACGTAGAAATTATTTATAGTCAATGGTATTTTAACAATATTTTCAGCTGTTAAACGACCTGAGACTTTTCTTAAACTAAATTCAACTTCATCGCCTAAATCAATTTGTGTACTATCACTTGAAAATGAATTCATAGAAAATGCAATTGGTTCAATATTATCTGTTGCACCACTTTGTTCAATAAATCCTTTGCCTTCACGAACAATTGCAATCCAACCATGTGCACGATGTCTTTCCAATAAGATTATATTTGAAGCAAGTTTATTACCTGATGCCATAGAGAATTCAACCTGAAAATTTAAAAGTAAATTAGATACTGTGGATATGAATATATGAAATATCAAGTATTTTATTTACTATGCTTCAGTGTAATACCCATCGTCATTCACTCGATAAACTTTATATTTTTATGGTTACTTAACTTTTCGATGCTAAACATTCATCAACTTCCGTTATAGTTCAATTTATTTTAGTACTCATAGAAAACTGATATTGAATATATATCACGAAACAAAATCATTGATGTGTAAATCAAAATAGTGTCTTACTTTATCTCCACAATATAATGTTGGTGTATTACTGAGATTTGTAGATACATATTGTACTGTAGATTCAATTCCATCCGATATATAACGAATAATGCCTGGTTCTTGTTGACGATGAACAGGTGTAGTTACGGGCTCATTACTATTTGTTTGTTGTTTAGCATCTGACATTTCATTCGAACGACCATTTCGTTCTATATTAAATTATTTTTAGAAAAAAAAATTTTGTTTTCCGATCTTTATACCTGTTCGATTATCATTTGCATCACGTTCCACAATACCAGTTAATCGTAATTCATTCCCATTTCCATTCATTAAATTATCTTTTGATATTAATTTAATTCGAATAGCGTGTGATACATCCTAATTAAAAATAATCATTTGAATAGAGATCAATGAAGAATTATTTTAGACAAACTCCATTATTTGTATTTGCAGACAATGTAAATTCTAATGGATCACCTTCACTTATTTGAAAATTATCTTTCATAACTTCACTAAATCGAAATGATACAATTTGATCCAATGATAAACATTTTATTTGACCACCTGTTGTATTATCGAGTTTAATAACAATACCCTAAAGATAACAAAAACATAAAAATAGATTTATTTTTGTTTATAAAAACTTATTTACCATTTGTCGTTGTTCTTTTGATTTAAGAAAACTTTGATCAAGTAATGCTATTTGTGTAGCACGCATCATGCCATCACGTTTATCTTTAGCAATAACAAATTGAACAATATCATTTTCAAGTAATGTATATAAACCACAACGATCACGTTCACCAAATGGTAATTCTGACATTTTTCTATTAAATTCAAACATTAAGCAAAAAAAATAAGTCGAATTCAAATAAATAATTCTTACTTATCCATTGCATCGTATAATAAACGACCAGTTAATGTATCATCTACTTTTTTGCTTTTCAATGGTTGTAATATACGACCAATATAAGGAGCTTTATCAATTTCATCGAATTCGACTGTACCTTTTGGTAATATAATTATATTACATGCTACTTCTTTATTCTACATAAAATATCGAATTATGATTAAACTTTATCTGTGATATTTTCTTATAACTTACATGTCGATCTTGTATATCAAATTCAACTTCTATACCTGGTTGAATAGTATTTGTTGCAACATTAGGACCAAATTCCGTTATATGAAAAAATATTTCTTTTAATGCATCTTCACGTTCAATGAAACCAAAACTATCTTTCATTGTTGATATAACACCACGAAAACGTTTGGTATTTGATAGCGTTTGTGATGGAATAGATTTTTCGATAAGCGCAACATTTCGTGCAAAAAATTGATTTGTACGACGATCTTGACCAACATTAAATGATACCTGTTTATATGCAAAATAAAATAATTGTTTTGTTTTTTTAGGGATTAAATACTAACTTGATCTCCAACTTTAACTGGAATTGTTGGTTCTTGAAGATCAGTAAGACCATAAGGTAGAAAATATGTTTCACCTTTTTTTACATATGTTACTTTACCATCTGGCATAAAATCAAATTGAGGAAACTAAATATTAATTATTTATCTAATAAAAAACAGAAGAAAAAATATGATTTTTAATTACGCCATTGTGTTGTAAAGCTTGTTGTCGAGCAACTACTGCAATAGTACCGTCAACACGATTTTCTCCAATAATTTCTGAATTAGCTGGTGTAATATTAACAGCAACTGGTTTCTTTTTTCGTTTATCAATTGTTGTTTCAAATTCGACTACATCTATTTTTGAAAAAAAAAGAAAATTAATCCAAATTTTTAATCCTATTTTCTCTATTACCTCCTATTTTTGCTTGATGAATATCATTTTTATATTCACTAAAGTGAAAAAAATAACGTCCATCACGATGACAACAATAAACAAAACCATAAGTTGAACAAAGTTTTTCGATAATACCCAATTCACGTTGTGCTTTTATTTGTATCATATCATCATTTGTATTTATAGTATTCATTGATGTTGTTAATAATTTACTATTTGTTCCTTGTTGATAATGATCTAATTGAATAAAACATACAAGGAAAGTTCTTTCTATTAGAATTATTCTTACCATGATGATGATGATATAATTCAGTTGGTACAGATGTCATTTAGACAGAAATAGACACAAAAAAAGAAAACGATGAAAGACAAACAAGAAAATGAGAAATAAAATAATAGAAAAAAATGAGAAGAAAATAAACTACGACTATACAAATCTGAAATATTTAATAGATAAAATTCTTCGATATTAAATATTTATTGCACAGAGGTCGCAAAACTTTTATAAATAAAAAAATACGAGAGATATATAACTGTTCAAAATACTATTTAAAATATATATATGATATAGATAAAAGAAATTTCTAAACACTTCTATACAATAATGGATATTTTAAGTACAAAGTAAAAAAAAAAGCTAAACAAACGATATATATCTATCAGCTGCTATTTATTCGAAATAGTTTTCATTGGTTGTTTGGAATAGACTAATGAGATATCTTTTAAAGTAGATTTATAATTTTAGTAGAAAAATTATTTTAATATGAATTATTTTTAAAGAAATAATATCATATTATAATACTTATCTCTTACTACATACAAACAAATATTACGAGAAGATGTCTCTAATTGTTTGAATACAAATTTTCTTGTTCATAAGATTAGTTTTACTCTAGAGAGAAGTATTCTTATCATAAAAGAAATATGCATATCTGAGAAAGACAAAATTACACTGTAGAAAAATGTCGTCGTTGTCTTCGATTATATAAATCATAGTATACTATCGAAAGTAACCTTGCATAAAATTTCTGATAATAAGAAAAGTGCATCTAAGAAATCTTCTATTTGAAAAGAATATCATAGCATTCTATTAACTTATTACAGATGACAATGAAAAATTGTATTGAAGGTTCATAATAATTACTTTTTCAACAACGTAATTCTTCATAATATACGTGATAAAAGAAGTAATACTCGGAGAATTATTAGGAAAATAGGTTTAACATTTCCTCTTGTGTTAAATATGACTATTTAAATCAAATCTTTTATGTCTTCTCGAGATCATATCAAATATCGATTGCTAATAATTATCGATTAATCGCTATGAATTAAACACATATCAATATCTCTGATTATGTAATAAATTTTCATCGCGATAAAGAAAAAGGCAAATATACATATATGATTCAATAATAAGAAAGTCTATAAGAAATTCATCATAGATTGATTTTATAATCAATCACTTTTTCTCTCATTTTAACTTGAACATATGAATGACTATAGGTTCTCTTATCGTTTGATCTGTTCTACAACGTCATATGAATTACGATTGTAAAGTACATGTTTTATTGATACATAGGTAAATCAAATTATTTCATTTAAGCTACATATATATTCAATCTTGATTATAATTAATAGAAAACAAACAAAATCATGTTTCAACTTCCACCGCCACCCCAATTTACTCTCCCACCACCTCCGCCTCTTCCTATTTCGATATTTAAATCAAAATCTATTCTTCCACTCACTTGTTCATCTATTCAACAACAAATAAATCCTCATTTTATATTAATTAATTCCATGTTTGTTTTTCTTATTACAGTTATTCTTATATCAATATTTATTTTTATTCGATTGTATTATCAACAAAAACTATCAGAAAAAAACTTCTATTTAAAACCAATATCAACTATTTCAAAAAATATTTCAATATCCAGTAACGGTTCATATGAAATCATATCATCAGATATTTTTCTTGAATCAAATGATACATCATCAACAAATTCAAATAGTATGATATCGAATTATTATAATCAAATATCTTCATATTATGATATTCGTTCTCCTAGTTAATATTTATTTTATTTGACATTTTTCGGTATATACAACAAAAAGTTTTTGCTTGATTAGAAAATAGAGAAATTATGAATTATCATCATCATCTGATAAGACAGGAGAAGTAATAGTTATTTTCTTTTTTGATCTTCGATTTGTTTTGTTTGCAGTATCTAATACATTATTCATTAATTTTGTATTTTTTGTTCGTTTTCTTTTTTTTAACGGTTGTTTTTCTGGAATTGGAATGTTATCATCTTCATCTTCATCATCATTATTCTCATTTTCTAACGGAATATCTTTTGCTTCTTGAGTTCTTTCTTTGAGTAAATTAATTGCAGATTGTAATCGTGTATTTTTTCTATATGATTTTGAATTATTTTCAAATGCATATGGAGCAAAAAATGAATCAATTCGTGATTGAATCTAATTTACATTGATTAAGAAATAAGTTAGAAGAAAAATATAAAATAAGAACAAACTTCTTTTGTATTCATTCGTTTAATTACTGGTAAAATCATATCATCAATTTTTCGTCGATCCCATTTAAGTTTAGTTCCAATAAATCTATAATAACAATAGATCAAATATTAATAAGAAAAAAACTAAATAATTAATATACTCTCGGATCAATTCAAGTTGTGGCATTGCCCATGTAAATTTTGTTTGATCATAATCGATTTTTGGTTTAATATACGCATCATAAATAGCTTTGTTTGGAAAACCTAAATCAACCTTCGATTTCCGTTACAGTATATAGGGAAATAATAATATATGAAAAGAAAGAATACTGAAATTAGTTTTAGAACCAATGGGAGAAGGAGTTTGAAAGCTCGAAGGATCAGAGAATATCAGTTAATACCTTCGAGTATTCATGAAACTGATTTAATATAGATTTGTCTCTTCTGTTATAAATAATAATAATAATTTGATTTTTTTTTTAAAGTCTTGTCGAAAAGTATCAGTGTATTTAAATTAGATCAAATGATATTTCCTTATTAAGAATAAAATTTTACCTTCAAAAAGTTCTAAATTTTTCAAACGTTTCAATACTTTTGACTCAGTTTTATAATCTGATTTTTGTGCTTTTTTCCACCAACGTCTAAATAAATAAATAAATGAAAGATATTTGAAATATTTTTGAAAGAAAATATTTACCGAAATTTTTCTAATCGTTCCATGCACGTTCCATGAAATTCTTGAAGAATTTCTAATGCTGTCATAATACCAGCATTTGGAATACCTTTCGTATAATCTGAACCAACAATCATACCAACTGCAATCATTGATTCTCGATCTAAACCTAATTGATTTAAAATTATTGTCCCATCATAATATTCTACTAATTGATCTTGACGAAAAAAATGTCGATAAACATGTGATGAACCAAATAACCAAACATCACTATCATCTGTTATAACGCCATCACATTGATTTGATAAATCTAAATAAGCACATTGTGCTTCAGCTTCTGTTGGACTTACAAGATATGGAATGCCAAATAAGCGAAGTAAATACTAATAAAGAAAATAAATAAATAACCTAATAAGAACTTATTTTATTACTTGTGTATCTTCATGCATAGTATCTGTTAATGTTGCAGTTAAACGTTCATTACCACGAGCTGTTGTTAATTGAGCAGCAGTATCATCAATCAATTCTGCTTGAAGTTGTTCTAATGATTCCTGAGAAATCAAAAATTATGTTTTCTTTTTCGAATTGAAATAATATTTTTCTTACTAATTGAGAAAATGATGATTCTTTAATATCTTCTACATCAGCTACTGATGATTCTTCTTTATTATCTTCAATATACATTTTAATA